CCATTGGGGCGGCACAGCTTAGTTCTAGCCGACCTGTGAACTAAGAGACTGTCACAGGTCGGCTCAGTAGATCGGGAGGTGAGCGAACACATACCGGTGTTTGCTCACCTCTCGATCCTGTCACGGCAGAGGGGCTGGATTCCCCCCTCCGATCCGCCAGCGCTGACTGGCGGAACGGACGGGGGAGGGGGCGGGTACAGCTAGCTCTGCCTCTAGGTAGGCAGAGCCAGCTGTCAGTCACGCAGCTGGGCGGATCCAGACATAATTGTCGGGATCCGCTTCAGCTGCGGTGTCTTAGTATACCGCGAGCAGCAGCTCGCGGTATACTGCGGCGTCTCAGTATACCGCAAGCTACAGCTCGCGGTATACTGAGCCTAGGGTGGCGGGAGGAGGCTAGTTTGTGTCCTCCCGTTACCCTAAGGAGAACTATGGGGAAAAGCCCTAACCCCATAGTTCTCCTTTAAGCCCCATTCACATGGGGGCTTTGCTGTGTTCTGGGACTCCTGCAGCAAGAACCTACTGATTGATACATGGTACGGTTAGATGCTATTTGGGATAGATGATTGTTGCTAGACACATCTATCCCAGATTGGATGTAATTGTACCATGTACCCTCTTGTATTGTACCCTATTGCTATAACCTGATTATCTTTATTGTCCCGTTGGGTCCCAAACTCCCAAACATAGAAGCCATGGTTTCTATACACTCCACTGATGATGGCCAACAAGCCTAAAACAGCTGTATGCAGTTTGCAATAAATAGCTCTATAATATTAGGCTATATTTTCACTATACACCAGCGGTTCTGGATGTACGAGGGTCACTCAAAAAGTAACACCTCCATGTCTGTAATTTGAGATCTGTTAGAATGACTGTGAATGTTCATGTACCATGTTATAGGGGTGTCCTTACCCCACTAATAGTGATTAGAACCATGGATCTGTGGCTAAAACAACGGGCTGTCAATGAGAGGGTTGAGCACCTAAGGAAATCCATAATCGGCTAAAGAATGTTTATTGGGATGCTGTAGTGGACATTAGCAATGTGCGCTGTTGGGTGAAGAAGGAGAAACCGAAATTGCAGATAAGTCGAGGAGTGGCCGACCGACAACATGCTGATGAGTTGGTTCGAGGAGACAGACGCATCACAGTTCAGCATGTTGCTGATGCATTGAGCGTGTCTTTTGGTTCTGCACAAGCAATCATTTCTCACTTGGGATATCACAAAGTTTGTTCTAAGTGGGTTCCTAAGCAGTTGACAGCTGACATTCGGAGGAGGCGTCTACATCTGGCCAATGGGGTATAAAGCAATGATTTGCATGGCTCTGCCCCCATGATCCTCTTTTTTGGGGGGATTTGTAATGGGATGAGACGTAACTACCACAATCTACCACACTGCGTGACCTGTCTCCTTCCCTCA